CTCCATCTCTTTTAGCGTATACAACAGCCACAATGTTTTGACTTGAAGTCCCCGTAACCCGCAAAACGTTGTGTTTTGGACCCATCTATTGAGTGTCTTATATTGGCCAATTGTTCAGCGAGCTCAAACTTTTTGGACCCATAGACCCATGCAAGCGGTTTTTTGTTCGCATAGTCTTTTCTGGATGAGTCGGCGGATCTACCTCACATATACTTTACCACATAAGCACAATACTTTTTAACAGCCTGATCAGAAAATTCTCTAAACGAAGGAACTACTTGCCGACCCATCCAGAAGAGTATATGCGAACACATAACCTCGTGTTGAGGTTTATGGGTTCAAACATCTGAGCTTGCTGAATACATGGCTAATACAGGACACTCAACGTTTTAAGGGTTACATTGACTTCACATTAAAGCATAACATTAAGGAGCATATGTAAATGAACAAAACAGCTAGCATCCTAAATAGGGTGAACGAGTGTATATAACTAAGTAGGAATTATTTATGACTGTTGGATATGCTAAAAGAGATGGAGAGAGAGGGAGTACAGGAAGAGCCCCTGAACAGGAGAATGAGGCTGGATTAGCCTCTAGTCCAGTTAGGACTATCACACTTCACATGACATTAACATTACCTACACACAATAGACAATAGCACAAGCCCAAACTTGATTCGACTTTAGAAGATCCTACACAAGTTTATTTGCGTAAGGAAACATCTGCCACCGAACGCATTTTCGCTTTGAGAAGTAACTTCACTCATTTGCAGGCATGCAGAGTAAGGTTGAAGTAGCAAACCAAATCATGGGATGCTTTATTAATATCGCAAAGTTAGGTGCATAAAAAAGCAACTAGGATTGCATTCGGTAACCTTTGCTCTTGGTCTAGCATATTTTTGCTCTATTTCCTGAAGCATAGATTCCTGCGCTCATAATGTCTTTTACAGTACAGGCGAAAGCTTATTCACCAGGCTGATAAACCAAGGACTTCTTGCACAATACAACACTTACTTGCGCGGTAATCCTGCTTCGGTTTCGGGTGAGATCACATCACGAATTCCTTCCAACCAACTTTTCCCGCAAAATGGCAAATCATGTCACAATACATCAATAAGGAATTCTTCGAAACACAGTTTTTCTTTGTAAAATCTATTCGTTTTCACCAGCCACCCAAATAAAATAAAATCACTACAAATGATCGTAAAGAGTATCAGGATATTTATGGAACGAACAATTGGCCTCATATATGTTCAATCCAACCCAATAAATGCAATCGTCTATAGAAGGATAAGCCTTCAGGAAACCTAGAAAAAAAGGAGACAGCTCTTTGTTCTGTCGTGAGAATTTTTCTCGATTAGATCCTTCCTAAACATATTCTATTGAGTACAGGAATTGAGAAGAGAAATACTTTGAAAACAATACTATAAATTAACCTTATTCGCCTATGTTTTTTTTCATTTACACTTAACCTATATTTTTGCAGGTAGGAAACCTCATTTTTCTTTAACTTTTATTAACTGTAGTCATACTATGAGTA